TTTTTTTTTTTGAGATAAGGCCTCACCATGTAATTCAGGCCAGCAATTAATTCATTATATAGCCTGGGGTTGCCTTGAACACATGGAAATCCTCCTCCTTTAGCCTCTAGAGTGCTCAGATTACAGGTGTGCACCACCATAGCCAGCAAGACAATAGAAATTTAAAAAAATTTTTTTCTTCTTGTGGAAACTGAAAATGCATGAACCCTTCTATCCAGCGACTTCACTTTTAATACTTTCCACACAGATGCATTTGTGCCCATTAGGTACAAAGACTGATTGTAAGGATACTCACTGAAGTATTATTTGCAAAAGAAAAAAAGAGACCAGAAATAATTATCTTTAGTAGTTCATTAATTATGGCTGTGCCAGGTAGGGTACAGCGTTAACTTAACTGACTTGGGATTCGAGGAAGACACTTCTGGTTGGGTGTTAGTAGGTCATGGAGGTGTGGCCTTGAGGTCTATGTCTGGTCCTTTGACTCTTCCTTTCTGACACGGTTCTCCTGCTCTGCTTCTTGGCTGCCACAAACTAGGCATCTTTGCTGTACTACATGTTCAGCCATGATGTTCCTGCCTTGGAGCCAGCCAATCATGCACCGTATCTCTTCAAGCCAAGAGCCAAAGTAAACATCTTCTCCTTTAAATTGTGAATGTTGAGTATGTTTCCAATTATAAGAAAGTAGACTAATACAGAAAACTAGTTCCAGAGAAGAAGGGTCATTGCTGTGACTATATCTGACCATGTGTTTCAGAAGCCTTTGAAACTGGTTTGTGGGAGGAGTTTGGAAAGCTTTGGAGATGCAGATTATAGAAGCCCCAGATTGCTGTAAGCAGAGGCTGATGACAGATTCTGGTTGTAGCTCAGAAGATGGGAATGCTGATAGGAAAGCAGGCAGTAAAATCCAGACTTGGGACATTTCAGTTGGGAATAAGGACTCCACTGGAAGTGAGATTAGAGGTCATGTATGTTATGCTTTGGCAGAAAATTTGTCTACATTTTACCAATGTCCTGAGACTTTTTGAAAGATTGAGATAAAGGGCAATTAACTGCCTAACAGACTAATTAATCTGACAGAGAAAACTTCAAGATAGCTCAACATTCAGTCTGTGGCATGGGTACTGCTAGCTTCTTCTAACTAGATTTATAGGAAGAACTGGGGGAAAAAAAACAGAGCAGAAAAATTGGAAAAATGTAAAATTTAAGTTCTAAAGGAACCATATATAAAGTTGGGGGCCAACGGAGGCATGGATCAGGAGATCGGCACCATTAAAAAGGAACCAAGTACTGTACTTTATATAGGGTCAAAAAGAAAGATGCCTTGAGGGCATCTCAAAAGTCAGTGAGATGTCACCTATGGCAGGCTCAAAGATACAGAAGAATAAACTATTCATTTGAGAAGCAGTCCTGGCATTCCTGTTCTGGAAAGGCTGCCTACAGAATTGGTTACCCAGGCTTCATTTCACCATGATCATCCATCCAGGCACTCAAAGGCTGCTGCAGTCCTGATCCCAAGAGACCTGGACATTGTTCTCACTGATTGCCGACCTTGGTGGTGCCATATGATGTTTGTTTTATCAGCATGCAGAATGCAAGAACTATGAGGTCAAGGAAGCTTTCGCCAAACTTCAAAGGAAGGTCTGGGAGGCCAGAAAAGAAGCCCTTGGGAGGGCAGTGTGTGAAGCTGTGGGAATGAAGCCAAAGACTCCATGAAGCTGGGGAAGCCAGGGACATGGAAAATTTGCTAAGGAAAGCTACAGCCCAAGAGCACAGACAGCCTAAGAGAGAAGCTGTATAAACTGCAGCCAGCAAAGCTACCCAAGTCCTTTGCAACTCTCATTTTATCACTACGTCCTTCAGATGCCAGGGACAGAACCATAAATCTCAATTATGTTTGTCCCGCTAGATTTTAGTTTTGCTTTGATCCAATTTTTTCCTATCCTGTGCTCCTTCCTTTTGGATTAGGAATGTCTAGACTATACCACTACACCTTGAAATTATATAACTTATTTTTTAATTTTACATGGGTTCACAGCTAAGAGTTTACTTTGAGTCTCAGGGGGAACTCTGACCTGGACTTCTGAATATTGCTGAAACTGTTGAGACTTCAGGAGAAGGAATTATTGCATTTCAGTTACACAGAACAGTTGTACCACATTAGGTAGAATTATGAACTTGCTATTGGGTTTATTTGGAGATTAAGTATATTTCAAG